AAATATAGCAAGAGATTTAAGAGATTTTAAGAAGGTGTTTTTACAGGGCTCAAGGCTGCTCAAGTCACAAGGAAGGATAGGAAAGTTCAGGCCTTGGCACCCTGTGCCCAGAATAACCCAGTAATACAACAACCTTCTCCTTCTGCAAAAGCTAAACAGTAGAAAATGTCTTCTGCATAAGCTGTCAGTGTCACCTGGCAAGACTGAGTTACAAGCTAAACTCTGTGTTCAGAAGGGGAGGCAGCAACCTGCCCTGGCTGAAACAGCAAACTCCTATAAACACAAAAAATGTCAATCTTGTAAAGATTAGTGTACTCTTAATTTAATAATTCATCCTCCTTCTGCACTTCCTAGACAGAATCTGATTAAATAGCTATTTTAACCCACAGTTTTATTATTCTAACTTTTTTATAATTCTGTTCTGAATGATAAAGGAAGAAAACAAAGTGAGATCTGTAATCACAATTTTTTTCTTCCATGCCCAAAAGGGCTTTTATTATTTCATCTCAGCAGAGCTAATCCCCCCTTTACCTACTATGAAACTGAATAAATTGCACACAGATGCAGAAGGTAATGTAGTGACCAAACCCTCCAAGTTTTATCACAGTATAACTGACCTATGTTAAAAAGTAAGAACATACCAGACAAAAGGACTCAAATGCTTTAAAACATTTAGAACAAGATGTAATTTTGTGAAACGACTTTGGTGCTTCTTGTCCTGCTAAGTAGATTTATGATCTACCTTGTATTTGGCAGATCAAGTTTGTCAAACATTTTAAAGTCTGAGGCATGACACAGAGAATGATTACAACATTAGTAAGAAATGATCACAACAATTAGTGCCAAACCTGGATAATGCTGCAGTGGAGGTTTCTCCTCCAGCAGCAACCTTACCTGTTTAGCACTTCCTCCCAGTTTTGTTTGAACAGCTGGTAAACTGGAAATGAACTTGTGGATTTAAGGGCTTATAGTCTTTTCCCCGTAGGATAACCAAAAAACCCCATGAATCCACAAACCCAAAACAACTTTTATTATTGGTTTCTTTTTGCTGAATGCCCTTCTCACAGAAAAACAGAAATGAAAACAACCTCTCTTTGATTATTGCTCAGCCAAGAACATGCTGCCTCACCATGCAACAAATGGAATTAGGAAAATTGACAACCAGTTCACTACGTGCTACATCTACCTGATGCTGCTGCTGTACAAACATTCTGAGACACTTCCATTGCTTCAGAGATTTGAAAGATAAAGGCTATGAACACATGGCCAATGATATTTGAAGAACAGCTGATCATATCTGTTTGTGATGTAAGATGTCTTATGGTAAATTTATATATAACTTAATAATAAAAGGTTGCAATTTTGTCTCATTGTTGCTCTAAATTTTTTTGAACAAAGTATCAAATTTAAACTGGGACATTTTCTGGCTGTATTTATACAGAACCATGTTCCTGCTTATCAGGACATCCTGCTAACAAAAACCTAGATAATGGAGAAAAATGCCAAAATTAAGTTAAACTCTACTAATTTCCAGGAGCACACACAGAATCAGACTCCCAGAGCCCTATGAAACTGTCATCTCGCCTTCCCATTCCAGCCTTTTATATATCTGACCTATATAACACTTAGTGAAAGCCTTGTGGGATCACACCATTTCAAAAACCTAGGTGGCAACTCTTACTATTTTTCTCTTTCTTAAATTGAACAATAATTCTTAAATCCAAGTTTCCTTGGGATAGTTGTTGGAAAGACCTCGTGGCTACACAGTAACACCAGGAGTCAAATACTAAGTGGTTTTGTTTTTCTTCTTCCATATTACTACCTAGATTTTTCTGATGTACCAGGCCCAGGTACAGTGCAGTGACGGACATCCAGGAATGTTTTCCTGCCTACCTCAGCTGGAGTCCACAGAGACAAATGGACCATCAAGTCTCTCCTGCACTTGTGACACAGGCAGGTGTTTCTCCCTCGTTTCCCTCCTCACTGGAGGGTGATGGCAGCTTGGATATCACAGCCAGCTCTGATCCCTCTGCTGCTGTAAGGTGAGAGGTAACTGATGTTAGCAAACTCCAAGACATGGCTGCTACTTGAGCATAACAAACAGGGCTCAGGGAAAGTGAGCAGCAAATACTTTGCAAACACTGAGCTCTGCTAGTTCACTGCCTGCCTCTGCCCACAGCATTGCATGGAGTCAGGAACAGCTTACAAAGAGAAGGGGACAGGAGATAAAAAGAACTAAATAGGCAATAACTATTAAATAAAAGACTGGACATCCCAGTTTGAAACATTCAATTAATAATTTTCCAGGTAAACAAAATTTTATCTGTGACAACTCTTCAGCTGTGACTTAAATTACTTAGATTTCTCCAATCTTCTTGATGTACCACAGAACATACAGCTGTCAGAATTCATGATGAAGAACACAACTTCTGAGCTCACACTTGCCTAAAAAACCCAAATAAGCAGATTTCAAATCTCACCGTGAAGATCATCTCAACACTTCAGTGCAGTAAGTATGTAACTGAACTGAAAACCTTTTACTGTACCCTGACCACACCCTGACAGCAGCACACTGAGCTCCTCCACTCCAAGTGGTGCTTCAGAGGGACTGTTATGCTACCTTTTAAACTGCAAAATTAAAATAAACACAGAGTCAGGTGTCTTGGAAGAATAAAAGCACTGGTACTTATTAACACAAATGCAAAGAACTAAAGACTGCAACCTAAAGCAACACAAAATGCCCAGCAGAGGTTAACTTACACTATCCCCTCCTTCATCTGATTTCTACTTAGGACTTGATAGCTTAAATTAAAGAATGCATGAAGTCCTTCACAGTCATACAGACAGACGAGAAATCTAACATTAGAAAATTAAAAGATATTTATCATCTTAATAATTTGTATCACCTTTTGGCCACACAGCTGATCAGGATGAAAAGCAAAAGGAATGAAAAGCAAAAAGCACTAGTGAGAGTGCTGCTGTTCTAACATCAGAGATGGAGCTCTCTCCAAAAGGAGCTAATGGTAATGGAAAAATTAGAACAAATGGAATGGTATCTGCAGAAAATTACAGAATGTGGGGCAAAAGTCACAACCTTCTAAAATTGCAGTGACTACACACTCTTACAGGAATATCTCTAGATTTTCATATTATTCTGCAAGGCACCACTTACTAAGAAAAAGTATTTTATTAAATTATGATTAATGAACAAACATACAAACACAACACTAAAAAATTTACAATTACCTTTAGACCAACAAATTTCACTTTACCACTTCTCAAAATCAGGTGAAGGAAACATTCTCTATTTTCTCCAGGTAATACCAAGTGGGACACTGTCAACAGAAAATTTTACTCAAAAAAGAAGGGTTTGCTGGTTTGCCTTTTTTCCCCCCTTTCTCTTTGTTTTGATTTCCTCCCTTTTTTTTTTTTAAGAAAGCTACAATTAAATAAAAATATGTAGCATACTGTTAAGTCTGCCTTGCATATAAAATCAATTACACAGTTCATGAATCCAGTAATGGGAAACATATTACCTCTGACTGGGAGAAACTCAGGCCTCCAGGGAATGAACAGGGCAGCTCTTATTGAGGGAAGACCTGGAACTGCCAAGCCAGGTGCTGGCTCTGTAGCAGCTCAGGTCAGCAGCCATTTTAGCCCAAAGGGAAAGTTCCCTATCTGGAGGACAAGATGGAAAAGATGCTCACCTGGAGCTGGGCTTCAACCTCCTGCACCTGCTTCTTGTGTTTGCCAGGAAGGTTTGAATTCCCTCATTGATCCTGTCAATCTCTTGTTCTGTTGACACCATTAACAAGATCAAAGCTTCAGCTGCTTAACTGGTGTTGCCGATTACATACAGCAAGATTAATCCTTATGTATTGTAGCTTACCTAGAAAAGTTTTTTTAAAAACAGAACATTCTCCTCTCAACTTTGTGACTTGCATACCTAGATATTCTTCTCAAAAGCAGATATTAACCCTAAACATGTAGCAACTTTGCAGTACAGATTTCTGGCAGAAATCCTATACAAAACATGTAAATATGTTAAATTATCCTCTTTTTTTCCCCCACAAAGGATTTTCTTCTTTGTATTTTAACAGACCTGTCCCTCAAAAACTCCTTAGAAAATATTCGCTTTTGGTTTTATGTTTTGGGGTTTTTTTAGTGTTTTATTTTCCTTCTACTGTTCTTTTTGCCCGAGTTTTACTGACCAAATTGAAGAAGGAAAAATATAAAAAGGTGAAAAACAAACAATTGGAAGCTTGGTTTTAATATAACTCAATTCTTTTCACCTATGTCAAAAAGACAAACAACAACAAAGTAACCCACCCCAGACATGTCAAAAAAATCACCTTGCTATGCTCCTTGGAGATAGTTAAGAACATACAGCTAAAAAACCATCACACAGTTCAGTATATGATACTGGTTGCTTTTGCTATCTAACATTTAAAATTATATTCTTTTTGTAGTAGCCAGCAGTATATTCATCTTTTTTGGACCTAAAAATAAACTGTTCTGATAAATTGTAATAAAATCTCTACGAGGATAGGAAATATTCTTTACTCAACTTTATAATGCTTATTTCAACTACATTTGTCTTAGACACTTAGAATATACTTGATTTATATGAACAAATGATTTGTGGAATGGAACTGGCAAAGTCTCCAAGTTTCTTCTACCTCTCAGGAAGCAAATAGGGCATGAAGGCTTAGGATGCTTTTACACATAGGAGGTTGCCACAAATGAGAGAATTATGAATAATTACACTTCTCCAAAATCTGCAGCAACTCTATACAGATGTCCCAGTTCATTTTGCAAAACATTGACAGGTCCAAAATGAATCTGAACAGTTTGCTAACGCCAGAGCCTTAATATTAACTGCTGATAACTCAGGAATTCCACATGCAATCAGCCTCTGAAGTTACAGTTTTACTGTCCTTGTAGATAAGAATTTATTGGTTATCTGGCTGTACAAGAGGGCCTGTGGGAACTCTTTTGAAGACTCTTCTGCAGCAAACAACTCACCCTGATAACATGAAGAATTTGATTATTACTTGGTTTTAAAGCAGAATTTTTCCCACTGCTTATGAACAGTACTAAGAAAAAAAAAAAAGAAAAAGGTATTTAAATGATATGAAGAAATCCAGGGCATCTGATTCAGCAGGAAGAAACACTGTGGGAACCAGCTATTCACCAGGAAAGCAAACACATGCAAACTCAACAATTCTAGCTGCTCAAGCCACCCTGTTCAGATGTCTTTCCACTTGCCTTGCCAGCCACAGTGATGAGTATGAATATAGTACTTAAAACTAAATTGCTCAAAATTTTCACTTCAGTCCTGTTTCACGTAACCAGATGAAATAAATCCTCCTCAATCTCATACAGGAATACTGAATGCTGACAGATTTCCACAGTTCTCTACCCACACATTTTGGCATCTCAAGAATCAATTCAAGTTAATGAGTTTCATACAGTCATGAGAAAGCTGCAAATAAAATGAGACAAAATTGTGTTACAACAAAATGCAGAATTATGATATGAATAAAGCAAGCCTAGATACAATCAGCAGTCAATTAGAATGACAAATTCTGTGTGATTTCAAATTAAATAATTTTAATGCAGCCTTGTAGGTTAGATACAGAAATACAGCTGCAGACAGCCAAGTCTGGTTGCAAGTGGCCAGGATTTCCAGGCACTGCTACTAATATCTAAGTTTCTAAGGATGTCAATAACAAAGAAAAGTCTGCTTAAAGCTTCTTTGTTTAAATGAGAATAAAATTTTTCCATAGTTCTTGTATCTTAATTTTTTTTTTATTTTCAAGCTGGTTTACATCAGAATGTCTTTTGGGTTTTTTTTCCTACTAACATATTTACAACAAAATTGGGAAAAATAATATGTGAAGGCATTACAGTTGTTTCTCCTGACTCTGCTTACTGGCCAGGTAGAAAGTCTGGAGTTTGTACACGTACAAATGCACCACTTTGGATCCACCCTTCTCACTGAGGGCATATTTAGCTGTCAGTTTCTCCATGGACATTTTCCATGTGCACTTTGAGGTAGTCATTCCTTGTAAACTTCTTGTGGCAGAGCTGGCACTCCGCCATGGGGCGGTTGGGGTTGTGAGTGAGCTTGTGTCGGATCAGCATCTTCTTCAGGCTGAAGGACAGATCACAAACCTGAGCAGAGAAGACAAGACAAAGACAAACCAAGTAATAAAATTTCAAGCACGTACAGCACTCCCAAGATTACATCACTGAGGCCACAGCCACACATACCAGCAGTACTTAAAAAATGAGCTGGACTTTGGACGAAAAATTCCTTCAGAGAGCACCTGAAAGATTTTTACTCTGCCTGGCATCTTTTTATGTTGTATATTAGGAATGGCTCCACAGGCACAAGGATGCCATCTGTCTAAAAAAGACTTAATCTTAAAATACCAACACCTTGAGGTGTCCTGGTAACATTGTGGTGCTTTGTTCAGGTTTTGATGCAGCAAAAATTGTGACATAACTTGACAAGCATCCATCAGTTCAAATGAAATCCTTCCTGACCTCCAGAATGACACCTGCAGCTTCCAAAGGAATCAGTTCCAATTGCTCAGTTACAAGGAGAGAGGAGTGAGAATGAAGAGGTTCTGAAGATTGTAAGAAAGGTTAATTACTAATGTAAAGGAAACCTCATTGTTCTAGCCTTTCTCTGCCTGGCCAAGAAAACGGCAGACATCTGGTAAATGAAGGTGCAATTCCTTCGCATTATTATCTGGTGTTCTACTCTCCTTCCTCCACTGTACTCCAAGCAGTCCAGTTCATTCTGCCATTTGAAGAGATGGACAGAGGCATGAGGGACTCTGCCCATACTAAAGCCATTCCTTTATAAAAACTTTCATACTGAAGTTAAAATGAAAACCACAAAATGTTGAAAGAACAAGTGCAGCAAAGGAAAGTTAGAATTAACTCAAGTGAAACTGTGCAGATATAATGTCACACTCGCCTGCCATGCAAGGAAATAGTCTAACAAGAATTTGACAGGAAAATGAAGAAAAAAAGAAAAGGAAGCAGCTGCTGATTTGACAAATGAAACAGACAAGAGTCATATAATTAAACAAGAATCACCATCCATAGGCTTGCACTCTTAAAATTCCATGTTCATTCCAGACAATACCTCTTTCTTGCAGAAAAAAACTCAAGGAACCCAGGACAATCCCTCTGGAGAAAATCAAAGCTTTAAATTTATATTGGCACCCAACTACTGCAAATGCTAAATGGTGACTGATTCCTTTTGAAACGACAACAACAAGAGCTGACTATCTAAGTAGATCATCTTGACCTCCAGCATATGGATTTTATGCCAGTTAAGGCTAAACCATTAAATGACCATAAAATGACAATGGCCAGAGGCAAGTTTTGTACTCAAAATAATTTCTCCCAACACTGTGTGCTGCTGCACTAGAACATGTTTGACTTTATGACATGACATAATGCTGAAGACCTTCATACAGCAACTGCAGCTCTCCAGCTTTTCCCCAGTGAATGATCTCTGAATAAACCTGAGACCCAAGCAACAGCCACCCCTTTGTTATTGACAGTGCTCAATTACAGCACCCACTGGTCAGCTTTGAGCACTGCTTTTGCCAAACCCAGGTTTCTGTTTCCCACTCCACAGAGCATACAAGGGGAACCCATAACATTTATCTAATCACAGCCACAAATCCCAGTGTGCTGGAAGTGTCACACACTTGTAAACACTCCATGTTCTTGAGAGCCAAGAGGCCAATCAAGGATATACACACATACAAGATGTGTTGGTGTTCTGTGTATCATATACACACCTCTTCATTCCTAAAATAAACAGCTTATAACACAGCCTCAAAGTACATTTATTTCATTTATTCTGCTCATGTGACCAATGTAATGTGTTCTTCTGTCCCTCCAAGACTCTAGCACATTGTGCTATCTTCCCTCTTCAAAAAGAACCTGGAATGCACAGGATTATTAAAGGTATGGCACATCCTGTGCTGTTCTTATGTAGAAAAGTTTTGGGGATTTTTTTTTTAAGAGTTTGCTTTATATATCAATTTTGTAAGCAAGACTGATATTTTTTACATTTACAACCACTCTTGCTAATGTGCACTTGAGCTCTAATCCATCTCTTCAAAATGATCAAAGTTTTGGTCAGGTAGGGAGGATTGACATTTGAAAGAAAGTGTAAGGTCAACCAGAGGCAGAGTGGAAGGAAATACTGTACTGAAAGAAACCAGGACAGGCAGTACTTGACCTTTCTGTCCCCCAAAAATAATCTATTGTCTCTGAGAAACTGAAGTTCAATTGGCCTTCCAGTAAAAAACAGGCTGGTCTGAAGAGGACAGACATCTAATTTTCTATGAAAAATTGCATTTCTATTTCCATATTTCAGTTATTTTCACTTTTCTAGGCGACATGTATTAGAATTGCCATCTTAAAATGGAAATATTCAATTTCCACTATGATCTGTGGGATGTGAGAGCTTTGAGACATTAAGGTCTGAAAATGCTTTTGCTGACTGATAAGACACAGGAATAGACACATAAATAAACTGTAGCACCTTCCTCAAACAGAGCACAGGGATTAGTTTCACATGTAACTCAATCCTGCACTGTAATGACTGTTCCATGTGCCTGAGAGAGAGACAGGAAGAGAAGACATGATTTTTATTTCTGACTCTGGAAAAAGAATATATATTTAAAGCAAAAATATAGACTAAAAGAATTGGTATGTGGTATTCCAGAGATAAGAATTTGTGGAAATTGTTGTCATAAATTACCACTCAAGTCATTATGTGAAAAATACTGAGAGCATCTGCAGCTATCTTGAGTGGAATAAAAAATTGTAGGTGAAAATACTCAAGTGTAAAAAGGAAATTTAGTATTGGGTAGCTCATAATAAATGTCCCCCATAGGGACATTTTTCTGTAATTGTCCACTACTGCTTTTCTTGTAACTTCTACATAAACATCTGGAATCATGCAATGTGCAAGACAGTTCTGGAAGAACGGGCTCCTCTTGGTTACATTTACTGTGTCTCCAGCATGTGCAGAACAGGAGCCCAGGTGAAATAAGGAGAAATGACTGAAAAAAATCAATTTTAAACCTCTCCAAGTGTGCATTAAGCAACAGACCATGGTGGGCACCTGGGTGGCTGAAGCATGCAGAAATGAACAGTGGAGGCAAGTGCTGTTATGTCCAAACCCAAAAGATCAGCAGCCTCTGGCAGTGTGCAGCCAGCAAAAAGCTCCTTCTGAAGAGTGATTTTGGTGAAACAAGGCAGAAACTTGAAGTACAAAAAATACCACCAGTAACTGAAGGTACACTCTGAAGAATTCTCAAGGACTAGGACTAGACACAGATTACAGCTGTTTCTAGCTATGGTTTGGGAAAGTACAGCTCTACTTGATTCATGAGGAAAACTGAAGGAATAGCTGAAACAGGAAAGCATGCTTTCACACAGCTCCTATTTCTAATTAAAGCAAGGAAAAAGAATAAAATACAACCACCATACCAAATCAGCCTGCAAAAGCACACTCTGAATCCAAAAGCAGTGAATCTTGGATCCACATGTGAGAAAAACTGCATTTACACTGCAAGCTGGCCAAGAGCTGATGAACAGTATAACAATCTGAAAGCTGAAAAAGTTATTGACAATGAACTGGAGTTAGAGAAATCCTCAAGGTACTATCCAGAGCCGGGCTGAGATTATCCCAAAATAATACAGCAAATTTCCTAACTTGTAGATGTCAACAAAATATTTTAGTTGAACTTTTTCATTAAATTAATGTATTTTATTCTCAATGAAATGACATCAGATCATTCATTAAAAATCAGAACAGTTAATAGACCCTTGAAACTTTCCTGCCAAGCTGTTATTTTATTTTTGCATCTAATTATATAAATTTTTGAGCCAATTTACAGCTGCTCAGACTGAGCCATCTAGAATATAATTGAGAGATGGCACTCCCCTGTGACTGCCTCATAAAGAGTCAGTATCATGAAACAAAACACCTACACTAATTCTACACCCATGCTGATGCCTTCCTCTAAATCCCTGAGCAACAATTTTGGCATTTAATAGTTCTAAAAGACATTATTCCCCAACAGCTTCTGCACATTCAGCCTTCCCACCTACCTCCCAAAAGCTGAGAGATGTTGCATGCAAGGGGGGCAGGCTGCATGAAGGGTACCTGACAGTGATCTATGAACTGTCACAGGATAGGCTGCATTTCAGCCCTGTGAGTGTGCACAGCATCCCAGATTTCCTCAATGAGTAACAAGAGGCTGTGAGCAGATGTTGAAAATATCAGACCAGATTTTACCAGAAACAGGCAATTCTGAATTCATATTTGTGTCATTCAGCATCAGAAGCACTGAGATTCCATGTAATAAATTAAATCCCTTTTCCTACACAAGCTAATCTCCAAATATTAACCTGTCATACAATTCAAACAGGAACCCAAGCAGCATGAACTTGTAAATGGTAACATCCAAATTGGATTACTAATGGTGAAAATAACTCTTATGGGATCCAAAACCATAAAATGAACGGGTGTGCGTGGCTCTTGGCAAGCAAAGAGGGTACATGAAACTCCCTGAATGGCTTTCCATTCCCTGGGCAATCCAAGCCCATGTGAAGTGTAACCATGCCACAAGCAGTAAGTCCAAGGCCACAAGATCCCTGCAATTAAACCCTCCTGCTGCACTGAGGCTGAGAAGATGAAGGGAAAGGAGCAGAGGAACTCACATCACACTGGAAGGGCTTCTCCCCGGTGTGGGTCCTCATGTGCTCGTCCAGGCCTCGCTTCTGACTGAAAGCCTTGTTACACTCCGAGCACTGGTACGGCTTTTCCTGCACGCAATGACAACAGCGAGTGAAAGTGAGTCAACACAGAGCCCAGGTCATCAAAGGAGTGGAATTCCATGCTGGATGGTGCAAGTTTTATTTTCTCTCCAAGGTATTACAGTCAGTGAAAACAACAGAAAACGACTTTCAAATGATTAAGTGAAAGCTGGGAAAGCTGTGGCCTGACAGTTTCCACTTCAGCACCCACTTATGAATTAATTATCCATTCCAGTCTTTCAAACCCAGCCTTTTGGGGAGTCTGCTTTTTGTCACGTGAAAGGTACAGAAACATAAAATTCCATGTTCTTTCCTTTATCCCCCAGAATGCTTAAAGCACACAGACAAGTAAGATTATCTATGAAAACTTCAAGTTTGATTGGAGATTTCCAATCACAGGAAGAGGTAAGGGGAGGAAGAGGATGTACAAGGAAAGTTTGTGGTAGCAGAAAAACTTATTTTGAAAAGTGGTGACAGAAGGTTAATCGCATACTCATTGCAGCATCTCAAAAGAAGTGCAGATGGCAACCAAACCATCTGTAGTTTTATTAGAACTATTGGTTAGCAGCTACTGTAAAACATGATGTTAGAAAAGTTGCAATCTCACTGACCTGAAACAAATAATTAGAGATAAATAAGGAAACCCACTTATGCAAAGATTTTTTTCTTTGTTGTTCCTTCATATAGAAACTTTAATAGGAGTAATTCCTCCTTGATTCCACTAAAGCTACAGAAAAATTATAGAAATTAACAATAAATCAATTAAATGCAAGAATTAACATTATGGCAATGCACATGGCCTCATTAAAATTTTCATATTTTAGAGGCACCCTTATTTTTGCACCAGCTAGACTTCCTTCATACTTGTTCTACTCTTTTCTGTTGTCTCTAATTCTGTACTGTTTAAGTTCTGAAGAAAGGTATTTTAAGAAAAGTAAATGCTTTTTACTAAATTAAATTGAAAGCAATGACTATAAATCAATAGGCCAAAAAAAAGCAGCTAGATCTATGAATTAACAAATAATAGGCAGTAATCAAGTTCTTTGGGGAGATGATGTGGGATCCAAGGACAAGTGAGACACAACAACTCAGGCATTAAAGCAATAAAGAGAATAAGCTGTCTGGTTATTGAATTCCTACTCTCAGTCTCTGGGAACCATCAGGTCTCCATATATTGCTGAATCCTGCCAGGATTCACCATACACCTAACACAGTGCACAATCAGTTAGTGCAGGGTATGTCCCAGTCTCTCTCTTTAGGGCAGATCCAGAGACCTCAGTGGGGAAAAGATGGGGTGCTTTGATTTTGCAGTCTCCTCCCACCAAGTTTCCTAGAAAAGGCAGTGTTATTTCCATGATTCTTCAGTAGACAGCAAAACATAATAAATTACCTAAAAAAAAAGATCTGAACTGATCTGTGAAAAAAAAATTATCATCTAGATCAAAAAGTCCATGTCACAAGGAGCTTTGCTGACTAAAGACTTCATGGAGCAGGGTCTGCATTTTTAAGGGAAATGTATGAATAAGCCACGTGAAAAGCAGGTTTCTGCAACAACCCCTTAATTGGTTTTGCATTGTGGTTAACACAAACCACATTTCTGTGCGTTCTCTAAAAGCAGTCTTTCTGTGTGGAGGCTGTTCCCCAGAAAGTGCAAAGTGAAGTATACGATGTGCACATCTTAAACACCTACAAAAGCATTCACTACTGCACACTGCACCAGGTGGACTCACTCCCTTTTTATTGTCTTGGTCTTCAGCTATCTGAAGAATTGACTTGATAATGACCAGGTCAATCATCCCAGTGCTAAATGGATTTCAGGATTCCAATTTGGACAAAGAGCCATTTTAAACTCTGGGAAGCTGGAGTCACAAACCTGGGCTGTATTATCTTCCCCCAGGTTATGTCTGGCTGTTCTGTATTTTATATTTGCATTATTCTCTGTGGCAAAAATGGTGTATCTAACATCCCCTTGGCATCTGTATTGAAATTCACATCTGTAGTGCATGAAACACATCCACAGCTGTCTTTGATCTAATTTTAGATCCCTTCCATCTGTATATTCCAGTGACTTCAGCAGACATGAATGATTCACACCAGCCTCCTTTCTCCTGAGTGGAGGCTCCCTCCATTCACATCTGTGTCTGTTTCAGGAAAACCAGTAGTGCTGTCCAGAGAAAAACCTGGCCCTCAGTTTATCTCCAGAGAAAAAGACGTTTTTGTTGTTGATTTTGAAGAAAACATTATCCTCACCAATCGGTTTCCTCAAAACAAAACATTCTGTGCTTTTCGTTTTCTCTCTGTTCCTTCTCCCCCTCGTGTCAAATTTCCATTGCACAATGGTTGGAGAAAGCAACACTTGCAACATGGAAAATGTGATGTTTGCTTGGCACAATCATCACTGCTTTAAATGTGAGCAGAGGAAAAAAAAAGATAAAAACCACAGCAACAGGTCTGAAAAAGCTAATACCACCACCAAAGGACAAAAGGGGCCAACACTGAGATAAGAAAAAAGCTGGACAAATTTAAAACATGAAGAAAAGGGAAAAACCTGCTAACTATCAACAAAACAGGAGCTCATTGGGAAGATGATCCAAATCTGACTTCAGAGGAGTTAGCAAATGCTGGTACTATAAATCTGCCCTCTGCTGAAGAAGTATCTGCCAGGCCATGGCAGTGGTGGCAGCCAAGCTGAAGGGTTACATGTGTTTTCTTTTATTGACCATCTAAATGAGGAAGGGAGCAGGGAGAGCGAGAGAGACAGGACGTGGCTGATACTGCAGTGATTTAATATCTCAGTTTCAAGCATGTCAGGCATAATAGAAATATGTAGATCAGGATTTACAACCTTCCTGCCTCTGAACAAGGAAAGGCCAAGCAGAGCCCAATGGTACTCTGGAAGGTGCTTTGCTGTAAGATTGACACATGCTGACCTAAAAGCTCCCATTTCTGGTGGGTTTCACCATTAAAAATGAAAGAATTAAACATTTTAAAAACCATGTCAAATAAAACAGGGCCTGCAGTACACACTTCCGTGTCTGTGGATGGCCGAATCACAAATCACACCTTGAATTCTAAGCAAGTTGTGCTGTGCACTAGAAAGAACTCACTCAGAACATGACAAATTTCAAGGACATTTGGTGCAGCTTCAACAGCTTGACACAAAGGTTGCACAGTGTGTCCTGCAAGCACAGCAGATGGAATTACTCAAATGCAGAATATTTGAACTGCTAGCTGCTGCTGCAGTTGCCTGTATGTCCCTTAAGAAATATAAATACATTATGTACAGTAAGATAGCATTTGTGCTCTGTAAATCCAGTAATACTGGTTACACAGGTGAAATGTGAATGACTTTGGTAGGAGTCTCTCCAGCTTGCTTTCTAAATCTGAATTTAGAACCATTTCATCAGCTCAACAGTGACAGCAAGACAAACATAATTTAAACATCATTATTATTACCATTAAATAAACATATCTCAAGATTAAAATAAGAGTTAAGAACACAACTACCAACTTGATGGGCCTGTATTTTCAAAGTGCTGAACACTGAAGCTTGAGAGAAGTTCAGAGGAAAAAAGAAAAGCTTATCAGGTCTTGTATTACATGTAAATATTTACACTTGTGACATGAATGTGAAAACTGACAGGAATAATGGTGATGCGACAAAAAAAATAAAAAATCCTTTTCTTTCCATTATTCTAAAACAAAGCCTTCCTTTGCTCACAGAAAAATCTTAAAATGTCTATTCATGAGATTCTGATACAATATCATCATCTGCTTTCAAAAGGCATTTTATGTGAAAATTTTGAAAATATCATTATTACTGTTACTAAATATGATTTATATGCTTGCATCATCACCTGAACAGAGGGTTAATAAAAAAAGCGTTTTGAAAAAACATCAGGCAAATGGAAAAATGTGGCCTAGAATGAACAAACATGACCAGCCAGATAACATTAAAATACTCCAGTCATGTCTGCAGCTACCAGGAGCTCGTTACCCTCAAAGAGAAATCTCGAAATCCTTCAGCTTTGCCAACCTGAAAATGCAGGAAATCTGTTTACACTTAAAATCACAGATAGGTGCAAAACTGGAGTCCATCAACTTGGGCTAAGTGTGAAAAAAATTCAAGAACTAACAAGATGCTCTCTTAGAACTAGAAAGTTTCTGCACGTTACAGCAAGTGGCTGACCCAGAGACAGAGGCCTATTTAAATTACTAACATAACATTGACACTGGAAGACAAAGGGTGATGAGAATTTACAAGAATAGTAAGGATTTGAAACTTATAATATTAGCCTCAAATAAAAATCACTTTACAAGAACATGTTGAAAAGTAAAATCCTTTTAAAAATATTTCCAACAATTAGAGCAGGCCAAAAAATTTTCCTGTTAAAACAACTGTGAAATAATTCTGGCAGATTTAAACGAAATGTGACTTTTATTCGAAATGACTAATGATTTTTTTTAGAACAGGTCTCAATTAATCTAGTTTTAGGAGTATTTAAAAAAATAACCTTTTTTTGCAATAAAATCTGTAGTTAAAACAAAAGCATGAATCTTCTCTGAAATGCCTGCCAGAAAAGAAAAAGGCATTTCTTAAAAATATCCAGTATATGCAATTCATCTGGCTTTACCATATCACTAACTTCCCATTTTCCAGGGCAGTCTTGCCTATTTGCTGCCCATAAATTGAAAAGTTCTCATTTCTTTGCAATTTTTTGAACTGCTGAGGTAATTTCTGGCCCTAAAATTTAGAAAAGGAGGGTTTATTTAATCAGCATTGATGAAAATTCAATAGATGTTCACCTGCTCCTGGAAAATAACAGTATCAATATAGAAAAAGTACATTTTCACTCTGCAAGGAAGGGATGATCATCAGTCACGATTACATAAAAAAGTGTGAAAATATAGGTGCAGTGGGATTCAAACCTTCCACATTCTATGTGCAAACACAGATTCCAGAAGCAAGGAAACCACAGCCCTGGCAAAGTCATCATCCTCAGGCAGATGTTTGGGAACTCACCCCTATCTCACCAACTGGGAAATAGAGATAAAATCCAAGATGGAAAAACCCCTCCAAATTCAATCAACACATCATATTATTTCATTACTCACTGTCATGTGCCCAGAATTCTGTATTTAGTACACAATGGAATCTTTTTTTGACAATAGCATTCTACAGTGCTTCTAAAACACACAACACTTTCTCCAACTTTAAGCTCAAGTATTACCTGGGAAACACAGAAGTGAAATTATGTCAATATTCGCCTTGCATTATTTCTCATTTACTACTATTTTAATACTCCTCTGGATTAGAAAAGAGGGGGCAGTGTAAATTTCCAAATGAGTGCCTTGGAAAGCCTGTTTAACTCAGGACCTCTTCTTTTTCAGGGAACAAAAACAGTCGGCAAGAGTCCTCTACAGGAGACTGCCTCACTTCCACACACACCATGATTTATCCCTATTCCCATGAAATCCATAAATAAAATTCGGAATTATTCCAAGGTTGGTTAATTTCCACACATATTGTGGTTTAAATGTATTTAAATATTAATGTATTTTAAAATAGTAGGCACTTATGCATGAAACTAAAATTATACACTGAAATTACTCTAATTTTTAAATTACCTCAGAAATGTACTTCACTTAAGCACAGGCTGGCAGCTTCCACCCACTAGAATCCAGATTTTTAAAGAAGTTATAAAAATTAAATATATCTATTTTATGTAAATATGAAATATTCAAATCAAGTCATGAAAAGCCATTTTCAAATAGCTTTGACTCTTTCTGTTTTCCACCACTGAATCCAACTGTAATAAAATCACCATTCACAGCAGTAATGAAAACATCAATTCAACATGACAACAACTCTGGGCACCTATCAATGGCCATATTTCCAAGCATTAGCAATTCTATTGCTACAACATAGAATAATTTTTCCACATGTTTAAGCTTAAACATCGCAATGTTCAGTCAGGCACTGAATAAAGCCTTAGAAAAGAGATGAAGTTTCCTGCAGCGTGAGGGTTGGAAATGTGCATGTAACTCCCTCAAAGCTGATATGGTTTGTAAACTCATTTCATCAACAACTTCAATGAGTTCCTCCTTTATGTTTTCCTAGGCTGCTATATTTCTCCTTAAGGAAAAAAACCCCAAACCCATCAAACCATAAAGCAAACACATTTACTTTCATAGAAACAAATCAATACTCAGGTGACATTTTAATATCAGGTGGGTGGTGTTTTCTCCCTGCCCTGGCCAGCAGGGGTTTGGCCTTACCTTCTCTGTTTACTCCAGAGCTGGAGCTGACACCTGTGGCCACCCAGGCTGTGCTCATTTTAGCAGCTGCCAGACCTTAATCAACTTTCTACAATGATTTTTTCAGCAGCTTTTCCTGATCCCCAGCATCAGGTCTGGCATTTAAGCCCACTGGTAAAATACAATGAGATTTAATCTCTCCTGTCTTTGGCGAATGCTACAGTATTACTTTTAAGCCACTTCACAAACCTTCTGGCCAATAGACCAGATTGGTTTTTTCAAGACATTTATGAATAAAAAATAACTTATCATTGCAGAAGGGTGCTATGACTGTTTTTATTTCCACATTGCTAGGCTCAGCTGATACAAAAATACCTTCATGATTTATACATCTAGCTATTTACTCTTTCAACAATGATTTTGCACGCAAGAATAAATTTCAAATAAAATGTATGTGTAGGAAAGGGTAAAATAAGAAAGAGCAAACAACCTTACAGCATTTTAAAAAGTCAAAACATGGGATGACTGAAAAGAGAAATTTCAAGTGTGACTTCCTGGTTTTTCTTGTTCTTAGAACTGACAGTGGGACCCAAACCTTTGGCAAACACAGTGCATTTTTTATTTCCTAATCTTCAGTTCATCTTTGTTTAAACAGCCTAGGAACACAGAACAAGTCCTAGTGCATTGTGCTCAGGGGTCTCAAACTCTTTCTGCACAAGTTTCTTTCTTCCCTGGAGAAGTCCTTACACAGTGCAGTTAGAACACATCTCCTTCAGAGTCAGGACTCGGATCATGAGCCCTCACTTCAGGAAAGACACACCTGAACAGCTCAGCAGCTGTTTTCTCTGCTGAAGGGGGCTGGTTTGGTTCCTGCACCCTGCATTCCTGACAAGCATCAACCTACTACTAAGATTAAATAAATCTTCACATTCTTGCCAAGACACAAATGGTGTCTTCCCCATTTACCTGTCAGTATTGTTGCTCCCACACTTTTTTCCTCCCTTTCTAATTCCCTTCACCACTCAGCTCTTCCACACCAGCTAAAATACATATTTATTCCCTTGTACCTGCACTAATATTTACTAACCGGAACAGTAAAATAACAATAGCTTATTATCCTGTGCTACTTCATGGATAATATTCTGCAGAACAGACTCAGGCATAAATCCATCTTCTGGCTTGAAAATCCATGGAAGTCAGTAATAAACTTTGTTTTTTCTTCTCTTGTTTTTATTAATAATTTCAACCCATTTTTTCCTCCTCCTCCTAAGATGACTTTTGATTTTTTAGCTGTCCAGTTCTACTTAAATATTAAATAAGGTCAATTGTGAGGAAGAGGGGAAGTTGGGACATGCAAGAACATAGCAACAGGCTTCAATTTAGAAATTACTATTAATGTAAATATTATTAGTAGTGATTCTTGTTACTTCAAAGTAAAAAAAAAATTACATGGAGATAAATGAATATGCAATGGCAATCAAAAATGTATGAGACTCACTGTCAAGTTTTGGGATAGAAGCAGCATCACCACAAAAAGAACCAAAATCTAATCAAGTCTAAAAAAACCACATTTGGCCTGCACATTTTAATCCTACAGCATAGCTGTGGGGATGACCAGCACCTTCACACATCAAAATAAAAAAACTGAAATGTGACCTTTCAAATGTACATGATCAACACATCTCAAGTATATGGAAACACTTAGATCACATTTGGTGTGCACTGCGTTCTTTGTACCTCTAAGGATGGTATTTGGCCTCCATGGTACAGTCGAATATTTCCTGAGACATTTTAAAACAAATTTTATTTTGCTCTTAGTGCTACACAAAGCCTGCCTAATACAGTGTCTACATATATTAAAAAGAAATATCCACTCCTTAAAATTTATTTTCCTCTTCCCTTTCCTATCAGCTAAAAAATGCTTAGAAGAAAACATTACTTGGTGTAAATCACTGCAGACTCTAAAAGCCTAATAATATTATTTTTCCTTTATTTTTCTTCTACAGAGACTGGGGAGTGTTTGTTGTTTTTACTCAAACTGTATGAAAAAATCAGAAAAAAAACCCCTGGATTTGGCACTGTTTCAGAGCTTGTTTACCCCTCACAATCATGTAGAACTTAGATGGGTCATGAAATTTCTCCTGGTGCAAACACAGTTAAGAGGGGATAGTAACAACAGAAAAGAATTTATAGCACTTCTTAAAGTGATTTAACAGCTGGAAAAAAAGGAGAAACAACTAACAACATAGGACTAGCCTGTTCCCGATGAACTACCAAGAGTATTGCACAAACTACTCATTACTTGTATAGTTTGGGGTACAAAAGCTACAACTTTATCTAGGACCTCAGTTAATATGCTCAAGACCCACACAGAACAATAGAAATTGTAACAGTTTTTAATTTACTTATTTAAAAAGCAATTCTGTGTGTCCACTTGCACATGGAGACTACCAAGTTAAATGTCACCTTTCCTATTTCCCAGTAGATGCAGAATTTCCTTGGTTTGGCCTCAACGTTGCTCTCATCTTTGTGAGCTGTAACAGCTCCCAGTTAAATAAAAGTTATATAAAAATTGTCATCAGTTAATAAAGTACAGCCTCTAGAAAATCTCACAGTGACTGGACTTTACAGGCACAGTAAGAATCAAAGCACTGGATATTGAAGTTTCAGTCACAGTGAAGCCTTTACAGAGCTGTTTACTCAGTAAACAACATTAATTTATATCTATAAATAACCACGGGTTAAATGAAGAGGTTAGTACAGCTATTATTTCAACATAAAAGAAATCAAACACAAAAAAAATAGAAGGTAATGGAGTTCTAATTAGAATTCGCAAGTTAATGACTTGAATCTTTGCCTCTTATTTTGATAGGCATAAAATACCTTGGTTGGCAGAGCCTAATCTCTACACAAACAGCAACTAATTACTTTTCACCACATGAGTCACAGACAATCCTCAAGCAAGCATAAAAACTCCTCCTTGTGTGGGACTTACCCTGGTGTGGGTGCGAATGTGCATCTTCAAGCCATCGTTCTTGCTGAAAGCTTTGTCACAGTAGGGACACTGGTAAGGACGCTCACCTGAGAACAAGAGAAGCATCAGGACCCAGAAATGTGCCCTCAGAGGATGAAGGCCTTGCAGCACAGCTCTTTGTCAAACTGAACTGCTTTTCTCTTCCAAGAGCAGATTTAAACTTTAGAAAAATTACAAATAATCCTGCCTGAGCGCGATGGAGTGCTGGATCAAAATATTTCTCTTTGCTGACTGATTTTGCACAATACATGAATACACACAGACAGCCTTGGGGGAAATAAAACCAAAAAGAAAACACCGAATGCCCTTGCTCAAACCACATTGTACAGTGATTTACACATGGCCACTTTTATGGTTAGGCATTAACTGCTCCCAAATATTTTTTCTATTTCACATCTGGTCGCTATTAGAGGCCTCTGGGTGTCAGAATCCCAATGGAATATAAAATCCACTCTTTTATAACGCTGGATCTGTGTTAGAAGCTGGTTAATCAAAAGTTTCTGCAATATTTGTGTCCCGATTTATGACTGAAGTAGAAGCAGAACAACCTTAGCATCTCCCTTGCAGCATCCCATATCTGAAAGGTATTTGTTTAATGCTCCATTACACTGATGTCATTTGGCATCGATTTTCCCAAACTCACATTAGTGTCGTGTGGATACTGAGCTGTTCAGAGACAGCCAGTAAAGAGTTTCTGAGTACCATCATTTGGAAGAAATGTACTTGAATTTTTAACTCTTCAGGCAATGCACTGGAATCTGAGTGTACTGCCTCCTGTTCCTGTATAGAACACTATAAAAGCAAAGATCAGGCTGTTTCCATTGGAAAACAAAGTAGAAAAATTAAGACGATAGAAAATTTTCTGTCCACAAAATGGATTTTGTTCTACATAACCATAATGCTGAAGGTGTCTTTTGAAATAAAGGTTTGTCACAAGTCAAGCAAAGCCTGTTTTATAAAGTCAATGCACAGCTTTCTGCTCACAAAGGTATTTCTGCATATAGACTTAACACAAAACAAATGTCAAGCACTTATTAACACTCAATCTTCTAAAACAGGCAAGCAAGATTAACTCCATTTCATAGTTTTAAAAAACCCAAACCAGTATATTTCACTGATAACCCAAAGATATTGACAAAGAGCCACAGCGGAACATGAAATCTCCATTTCCACACGTTGGGTAGAGATTCAAGGGCACCTGAGGTGAGGTAATTGTTTAGGGAAGAGGATGGCCACCCTCCCCTATTTTGTAGACAGATTATTTTGTTCTTTTGTCTTTTACTTCTGTATAGGTAACTGTGAATGACAGCATAAGACTGGCCAGCAAGGCACCTTGTAAACACAAATATTTTTCTCTGTTGAGTTCTGTCATCTCTCAGAAAGCTCAACTGTGTGAATTGGGGGTCTGGGGTTCTTTTTAGGATGATGACATCAATCTCTGTGTTAGAGCTGTGTTTTCACTGAGCAGTTTGATATATGATCCTCTCTCTCCTGACCTTCGATGCTTTAATTCATGCCCCCGAAATTCAAACACTCCAACAGTTGTCAGTACTCAAATATTGAATTAATTCAACTGACATTTTTATGTCTGGGGGCTTTTGAATGGAGAATTTAAAGCTTTCAGCAGTTTGTAAGCAGATGAGCGATGACAGGTAGGAGTTGTATCCTCCTCCCTCTCTCCCCCACCCTCATCTGTCTTTAAAGAGAAAGACTTTTGCCTTCAAAGGACGCGCTTGAGTTTGTCTGAAGCAGATTAACAGTGTCCCTCTGAAATCAACCACGGACACCATGGTGCTTGATGAGGAAAGCCCTAGGAGCTTTCAGCAGATGCCAGCAGAGGGCAACAATGACTCCACATCAACGTGTCACACCTGAAAAAGTCGGGCTTGGAGCTGCTGTTATAAACTGTCCACTGTAAAAAATCTTCACCGTTCCAAAAATCAAGTTTACTGCCTAACACAGACTGCCAGCTATGTCTTGACATTCAAACTAGGAACCATCTTGTTTTTCTAAATTATATAAATTTCTCGTGCACTTGTGTCAATAGTTTCCAGTAAAACTACTTAAAAGATGTTCCCAAGTAATTTTACTCTTATTTTTTGTTATTTTCTTTCACCTTTGGAGCCTACATGCTTAGAATTTATTCAAGTGCCCTGGTGCTTACACAAGCAGCTACCCTGAGCATAAGCATCATTTAAACTTGTAACTTATCTTCTGTCTCAAAAGGTTTTAGGATTTTACAAAATTAACAATGGGCCACTTAAAATACATCTGTGCTAGCAACAACCAAGTTTCTTAGTATAAATTTCTTACTAACTGCTCTCTGGAAAGGGCCTCTGTTGCCTGACTCTGAAGTGAATAAACTGCCCTCTGACAATGCATCTTTTTTGCTATTTACTGTCTCAGGAGCCCAGGTAACTAGCTTAAGATTAAATATCTGATCTTGTGGACAGCAGATCTGGCAAGATTATTACAATTCCACATTATTACCTTCTCTATCTCTACTAAAAATTAACTTCCTTGCTTCTGAGCCAGCCTAGGTAAACATTATTCATGCTACCAGTCAGTTTCTCATCAGAATGATTCCACATTCAAGGAGACTACTGGGAAGCAGGTGTTCCCCAAGAGAAGTCTTACACACTCTGTCCCACTCTAAGTCCTGTACGATAAACAGGAACAGTTTAACTTCCTCTTATCCTGTGATAAGCAGATGGAACACGATGGCAACAAAGGAAAAGACAGATGTGAAAGAATGAATGCTAGAAATATTCTTCTCACATGTGAAGGCTTGCTGAAGGGCAACATTTCATAAAAAACTACTGCCAGCGTCCACAGAGGAGAGGGGCTTGTGCTTGCACAAAGTTCAGAATTGTCCCTGAAACAAACTGGAGAGCAAGGACCATGTGATACAATCTCCTGGGAAAGTGACATTATCCATCAGGGCTCCCACATCCATCTACAGCCAGACAAGGACTACCAAAATCCCATTTACAAACATTGCAGTGATAAACTTCAGGTTAGAAACATTGCAGTGATAAACTTCAGGTTGTACACAAGAAATTGTGGAGATTTCCAGATGCAAAACTCCTCTGATCAGAAAATGAAAGGGTCTTTAACAAGGAGTTTAAGAGCAAAAGTTACTAAGAAAAGCAAATTAAATACCTGGCAAGTCATGAACCTCTATTTCTTTTGTCTTCACAAGAAGGAGTTAACAGGGATCAAAGTAGAAGAAAGAGATTTCCCCTAGATAAACCACAATTTCTTCTTGGATTTGCTGCTAGAAGAACATTTATGAGATGGTGTCAATTTGAGGAAACACCAGACTAAGATGTGGGTGAACTTTAGGTAAAGTCAATGCCAATTAACAACTATGCCATTTACACTCTGCACTTTTATATAAACACCTTTGTATATATAGTTATATGTGATAAACATAGAAGTATTTTTATGTTTGAGTGTTTTTAAAATCTGTTTTCTAAACAAAACTATTGCTTTCATTAAAATAACACAACAGTCAAGCAAGTCAAATGTAACAAATGTTAAGTTCCCCCCTGAGTTACAGCTGACTGTCATGTCCCCGCTGTTCCAGAACAAACTGCTCAATACATTAATGGCACTTCTGTACAAATAACCTCAAATAAATAATCCTGGGATAAATTGCAGTGGATTTAGCATAATTCAAAGTCTAGACATTCTACTTCCAGATTTTGCATGAACAAAAAATCAGAGCTTTTAAAATAATAAAAATAAATTTAACCTTAATACAAGGATTATGAAAAACAATTCCATGATTGAAAAACATATGGGATTTTGATCTGAAACCACGTCATGACAGGATTGACATCTTTTTTTCTCCTCTCCATCTCTAGCTTGAGATCACAATACCTAGTGGACCTTAATGTAGCTTAACAAGTTAAATACCAGATTCTCCCATTCCGGTTGGACTCAGGACAGCTTCCCATGAGACATCTGCAATCAGAGGTGCTCTAAGGCAGCATTTACACTGAGTTTAGCACACAGATCTCCCAAACTCAGACAAAACAATTAAGAAGCAAATCCATATATACATTAGTTTTTTAAGATTTCAATGTTTCAGTGGCTACAGCTAGACAATTAATAAGGACTTTGAGACAGTTAATCAAACTGGCCATACGCATTGCTATTTTCACACTGTATTTTGCATTCCCTGTAGTCAGCTGAGCCACAAATATAAAGCTGTTTCTCCAGTTAGGTGGAAATTCCCATCCAATGGAAAAACAAACCCAAAAAAGGAAACATCCAGCTGCGAAATAGTCCTGATCTGAAGAGCCCAGCAAGCCAAAATAACAGTCTCACTGCCCTTTCAAACCACACTCAGGCTTTAATTCTATTTCATCTGTGAAATTTGCAGTCCTGTTTACTGTCCTTGCTCCCCTGCAGCTTGCTTAGACACCCAAATACAATTTCTCAGGTATTCATGTAAGCTTCAAGAAGGATTCCCTGGCTTCCCGTCTTTACTGGGACTCAACTGCTCAGCTGAGGAATGAAGAAGTTGAATTATGCAGTGAAATAATCAAGGTGGGTTTGTTTAATACACTTTTTAATACACCTCTGCTTAGTTGGAGTATTCAGCATCAATGGTTTTGGTCAGCACTCACGGACATCAGAAAAAGACCTATAACAAACTGCACTGAACATCAGATCATGTGCAGCATATGCAGCCTCAAGGAATTCCTCTCTTCAGTTTTCTTTATAAAAATGAATAAATATAATTACAGCAATGTAGTCCCTCAGATTGTTCCAGAGACCATTTCCCATATTCTAGATATAGCTCCCATTCAGATGGTGAGCTACTAATTTTTGGGATTAGAAGATTGTTTCTTAAATAGAAAATGGTTATGTTTTTCTGTAGAAATATATATGTGTGCATTATTTCAAAATACCAGCTTTCAGAACAGTTATAGCAGACTATAATCCTTTTTAAAGTCCTCACTCAAGCCTGGGGCAGGGGAGAGGGTTAGAAGAGAGCCTCCACCATTGCCCAACTGCAGTGGAATGAGCACAGTTC